AACAGCCCATCACCAGGGTCTGTGCCCTCCCAGGATCAGTTTTCCAAGCATGTCTCATATTCCAGACCCATAATTGAGCTTCTATGTTCAGGTAAGATTCCGGGTTGTATGATGAGTTCCTTCATGACCTCTCACTGCTGTTGTGAATAAGAGAGGTTTGTAAGCTCAGTCCCCCAAGGTGAGGAGCCTCAGGATGTAGTGCTATATGGAATCTTATAGTGAGACATGATTCCTTCTTTCTCTTCTTTCTCTTTAATGCATAGATGACTGAAAACTTGTTTTGGTTCTGAGGATGAAAGTATAGCTTACAAAACATGTTTCTCTCAACTAAATTATCTCCTTAATTGTGTTTTCCCCTGACATTCACATTCTGGGGCTCAGTCTGTGCTGACTCAATCATCTTTTGCTTACTGACCTGTGGGGCAGAGTCACAATCTCACTTACTGGAAGCAGAAGCATTGCTGGGAATAGGGATGAACCCTGGTAGCAGCAACTTTATGGTAATGACCCAATTTCCTCCATATCATACTAGGACTAGACCCTGAAGGACGATGACTAGAGTTTTCATATTCCAGGTCAGTGAGCACAGCCTCCCTCACTATCTTATGGCTATAGGCTGATTAATACACCATTACTTGGGAAAGCATATTTGCTCACATAGTGTTCCATGCCACTGAGGAAGTCAGACAAAACCTGCTTGTTAGTGATTTGGCTTTCTTCTGCAGCATCATATCTTGGAGAAGACAACTGATAAAATGATTTTCGTATCAAAAGTCAGGATTTGGAGCACAATACAGTGAACGTGTTCTGCTGCATATGGCCACATCCCCCCAGATTGGAACCCTAATACACTCCTCTTCAACCCCACATGATGATTTTTCTCATTGTGATGAAACAGTCCTAGATGCCAAGGTGAGAATGCCCTGATATTGAGAAAATGATGTGTCAGGACAGAATGAGTGTAGGCAGAGGAATCTTTGGAGGTTTTATAAGAAAGAATCTGTTTTAAGTTTATAAATGAACATTCAGATGCTGCACTAAAGATGTAAAAAGCAGAAGGGGAGATGAAAGCAGTGTGACAAGCTAGGTTACCTGAAGAGAACAGATTCAGGACTTTTGGGGAAGTCTGCCTGATGCCTGAGACAGATAAAGAGGGTTCGTGGTTGGCTTGTGGAGCTAGATGGGGTCTCAGTGAGCTAACATCCTGGGGGAAGAGTTCATTGACAATGGTGCTGGGTCCAGACCTAGATCTCCTTGCTATGATTAAAATGTTTAGCAAGTCTAAAACCTTGCTCAAGGAAGACACAGTAATATTTCCCATCTAATGACAACTGGAGAAACTATGTGACATGATTAACATATCCTTTACCAAAAATGACATCTCTAATATCAGTCTCAGATCTAGGGACACTTGCACTCACCTAGGACAAATTGGTTGAAAGTCAATAGGATCAGGAGAAGAATATCACAGAAAAATGCTCATGAAACCTCCTATTACCATTTGGAGTGAGGAATGAGAAGTGTCAGAATGCAAACCAGTGGCTCAGCTCCCAAAATCTCCCAGTGCCACTTATCAATTCTTTCCTTTTGCAAAGCCAAAACCAAAAGACTCAGCACAAACACTTCTTCACAAGAGATAAGAAAATCCAGTGATAACATCAAAACAAAAGGATTGTCATCATAGAGCAAGGTCAGTTTGGGGGTAGGTGCATACTGACACCAAAGAGAGAGGGTATCATTTAAGTGCATGAAGAAAAGACTCTTGGATAAAAAGAAAATCATCACGAGAAAGGGAGATGGAAGGAAGTATTTTTTCTAGGAGATCAGATTCAACACATTTTTGTGGAAAAGAGGTACTGAGTCATGGGCTCAAGGCTTCAAGTTTAGCCTTAGGAAGAGGAAAGGATGGGAGGGAGCTATCCTGCTGTGGGAAAAGTTCACAGAAAGTGTCTTGGGCTGAAACCCTGAGCTCATTACCATGATGGAAACCTTGACAACAGTCTGGATCTTGACTCACTGAAACTATAGTAATTATCCTCTCCAATGCCAAGTGGGAAATTTCTCTCTGAGTTTTATTTGAACTATAACTTCTCAAAGACAAGCCAACCACAGCATCTCCAAAATAAGCAAAACCAGCTCTTCTCCAGGACACATTAATCTGAAATTCAATATCCCCAAAGAAAGTCAGAAAATAGAAAAAAACTGTTCACAATTTATATCCAAAACAGATTCAGCATTCTCCACCTGATGGTTTCTGGCCAAAGCAATGTAGATCACTCACTAAGCTGGGTCTGACTCTCAGTCAGCTGTGACACAGCTCCATTGGGATAAAAATCCAGTTATTGAGATCCATAAATGCACTCACACTTGTTTACCTGACTTGGATTTTCCTTATCACTTTTCCATCTTGGGTGCTATGCCCTTATCCTGTAATTATCATACATTCAATGCTAGAGCCACTTCACCTCAATTTCCCTTCAATTTTCAGCCCCATTACCCTCTTATGATTACACTAACTGCTCTTCTGCAATATGTTGTTTTATAAAAGGCAAGCATCTCTGCAAAAAAAGTCAGGATCAACAGAAATAAATCTGTAGCATCTCTTGAGAAACAATCCAGGATCTAAGAAAAGAATCTCTGATTCTAAAGGGAATCTACACTTCAGAGAAAATAGACATGACTAGTGCATCTCTCTGGGGGTATCTAACTAGAAAATCTTTAAAAAATCAGAATAAAAACTTAAAAACTTCACTCTTGATAGGGATTGCATTAAACATGTAGATTGCTTTTGGTAGTATTGCCATTTTTTACTATGTTGATTCTATATACTTCATATCTATTATTTCCTGATGGGGAAACAGTTCTCCTTCATTGCCTTTTCTCCTTCATTCCCCACATCATATCCTGAAGTACATGGCTTGAGCCCACCTGTATGCCAGTCCCAGTAAACTCTATAGATCTTAGCCCAGGTTTCAGCAAGGCAATTTTCCTGGACCCCTAAGCCACTGGCCACCATGCTTATTCATATTTGTGAATACTCCATACTTCAGAACACATTCTCTGTGATCAAGGTTTTTTTCTCTGTTTCATCACTGGTATCTACTTTGTGAACTTCTTCTTTTTCCTCACATGAACACTGCATTCATTTCCTCTGCTCCTGTGATCTTTCTGATCCTGTATCCCCATGAGCACACAGACCATCATCTTCAATCTGGTGAGTTCATATGGGGCTACTCTACTTTTTCTCTTTTCAATTGTGAAGGTTATGGATGTTGTCTGTATCAAACCAACTGCTACCTCAACACTCACAGTTCCTAAAGCAATGATGAGGTTATCTGACTTAGCCTAGTAAATTCACTGCCTAACAGAGAATTCAAATGAGATAGCTGTTTAATACATATTTAGAAAATACACATCCACCTCAAACTACATTCTCCACCATATAATGCCCTAGGGTGGACCTAAGTTAGGGAGATTCCTATCCCTGATCACAGCATGAAATCAGAGAGAGAAAATCTCCAGAAGAGAACCCATGGGAAAGAGGATTCATAACAGCCTCATTCTAGTGTGAGATAATGTTCAGCCTGCAGCAATCCCTGCTCATTAAAAATTCAGGAAATGATAGGAAAATTCATGCTCAAAAGCATCCCCAACATCACAGGGGAAAAAGCTAAAGGGAACACTTGATGCGGGTACATTTGTAAAAAAAATCATTGATAATAAATTAAATTGAATAATATTCCTGGTATACACATATGTCACAAAAATCATTAAAAGTACTTGTAAGAAATACACAAGATTGGCATGCAAAGGAAAACGAAACATTTAAATTATTGTGCCTTAAAAGTGAACATTTAATTTAAAAAAACATTGGTTATTTGAGCATGAGTGTTGATTATATTAATTTGTTGGATGTACTTACATTTGAATTCAGAGTCTCTACCTGCGAGGCAGGTGCTCTACCACATTGGCCACGCTTCCAGCCACTTCTGTTTTAGGTTATTTTTGTCAGGTAAGGTCTCTCATTTTTGCACCAGCCAGTTTCAGACCATTACCCTCCTACTTAGGTCTCTATACAAGTGGTATTACAGGCATCAGCCAAAAAGCTTAGCTTCTTTGTTCAATTTGGTTCTTCCTAATTTTGCCCAGGCTGGACTCTAATCACAATCCTCCTGATCTCTGTCTCCTTTGTTGCTGGCAAATGAGAAGTTAGCCACACATCCTATGTTGCCCTCTTGGGGAAAGTAGAATATTTGCCTTCCTTTCCCATGAAATAGAGCTCATTTTCTCTATGAAATTCATCACCTCCATAACAAAATTGGAACTAGAATGTTTGAAACAGAATAGTAGGCCTTGCTGCATATGAATAGATAAACCATGTAAATGAATAGTAGACATAAGACGTTGTGCAGGTACCACTAAATTGTGGTTAGAATTTCAAGAACACTGGGTTAGAAAAAACAGAAACCTGATCACCAAGACAAGCTCAGGAGTGACTTGTCTCCTCCATCCACCACAGGGCACTGTGGCCTAAGCACTTGCTTGGTTTTGCCTAGATACTTTTTTCTTTCTTTTTTTTGAGAATATATTCTTTATACTGGGGGGATTCCTAGTGACACTTCCAATTAGACTTGTATTGTACATTAGTTACATCTCATCTGGAGTCCAAGATAACATTGAAGGAAGGAGGAGGATCATGAACTGCCTCAGCCTGAAAAGATTTGTATGGAGACTCTCCACTCTAAAGACCAGAGAAACATATAAAAAGAGTTGATTGGCTGCAGCCTGCCTGTGTGCTTCAGGAAGCAGAGTCTGTGGTGTGTCCACCATGGCCTGGGTTCCATTTGTGCTCACCTTTCCTGCTCAGTGCACAGGTGATCGCTCTAGAATCTTCTGGGAGGGCATCTGAATGTCACTAGTTGTGATGATAGTCTCTCTTCCTTCCTACAAAGGAGTCCTGTGAAATCTTCATTAACTTATGTCTCATTCCCTCCTTGCAGGCTCTTGGGCTGAGGTTGTATTCACTCAGCCCCAGTCTGTGTCAGGGTATCCTGGTCAGACAATAAGCATCTACTGTGCCCTCAACAGTGGCAGCATCAACAACAACTATGCATCTTGGTACCAACAGCACGCAGGAAGTTCCCCCAAGATGCTCATCTACAAGTATAATGAAAGACCCATTGGGGTTCCAAACCGATTCTCTGGATCCAAAGACAGCTCCTCCAACTCTGCCTCCCTGACCATCTCTGAGCTGCAGCCTGAGGATGAAGCTTATTACCACTGTCTGTCTGGTTATGTCAGCTATTTCACACAGAGCTCAAGACCTAGGAGGAAGTGAAAAATAAACTGCCAAGAACATCTCAACCCTGTGTCTACCTTCAACCCAGGGAGAGATATTCTTTCAAGTTTTGTGCTTGAATGTATGATTTGGAATATATGTCCAATTGTTCCTATACGTTCCCATATATAAATTTGTTTTCTTATTTCCTGATGAATATCCTCCTAATCCCTTTGCAATCACTTCAGAAAGCAGATTTATTCAAAGGAAAATTTAACGGTGTTGGCTGGGCCATTCCTTGTGGTGGAGGACATTTCATGCTTTGTAATTTGTTTAAAAACATGTTGGGCTTCCATGTATCAGAAGTGTTGTACTCTCGAAGTTGTGACTTCACCCCAAAAGATCTCCATATGTTGCTAAAGATAGCAAGATGAATAAATCATCCCAGTTTGAGAGGTATTGGATTATGAAAGAGTGTGTTCTGAGTTCTCAGAAATCCCAAAGTTTAGACTCCATTAGCTCAATGTAAAACTAATTGTCATTCTCTGCTTCTACTTTCTGATGAATTATACAAAATGGTTTCATACAGCACCAATGATTGGTTTGATGGATGAATAATATACAAAGAAGCATGAATATGTCCAAATATATGGAATCCACCCACAGTAAGTGTTTGAGTACAAATTTTCACCAGATGATGTATGTTAAGTTTTTAATCTTTATTCAAGACTATGAATATATAACATATTCATTTTTGCTTGATTAACCCAGAAAAGTTGATGTGACATATTTCAATTCCTGAAATTAAATAATTGCCAAACTAATAACTATAGCCAGCAAAGCTCTATTTCATAAATGAATGAGTAAAACTACATTCTATGATAAATACCAACTAGCAGGATTCATGACCAATAAGCCAGCATTGCAAAAGATGCTTAACAGAATCTGCACACCAAATGTGAGGATAAACACATCCACAATAATATGTAAAAAATAAATCTCACTCTAAGTGTAGATAACCAAGTAAGTATTAGGAAAAGTCAAACATTACAAAAATTATTATTATTATAAGATAATGATCAATAAAACAATTTCAAATATTGATTAAAAATAATGATCTTAATTATGCAAATTAAAGGTACACAGAACAGATTGAATTAAAAAACAAGACCTGAAACTTTGCTGTCAGAAAAATACACACCTGTGGAGCAGATGGTTTTAGCAAACAAGATTCAGTCCACCAATATCCACTGTGGAAATGAATATGGAGGTTCCTTTAAAAACTAAAGATCAAATTACAATATCATCCTGCTATAACCCACCTCCTATATATCTGAAATGATGAAAGTCAACACAATATCAAGGTACATGTACACCAGGAATGTAAGAGCAGTATTGAACAATATCTAAAATATTAAATCAGCCAAGGTACTCATCAGCTGATGATGGATAAAGAAATTATGGTATATATTCACAACGGAATATTACTCAGTCAAAAAGAAGAAAGATATTATGACATGTTCAAGAAAATGGATAGAACTAGAGATCAGGTTAAGTGAATCAGACAGAAAATAGGATAGAACTAGAGATCAGGTTAAGTGAATCAGGCCAGTGTTTGTTAAGACAAACATTGAATGTTCTCTCTCATATGCAGAATATATTCTTTAAAAGAAATGACCAAAATAGACACAAGTGTAAAACAGGACACTTTAGGGCTGTGTGTATCAGAGGAAGGGAGGATAAGTAGGAGGTGAAGGGGGATCGAATCTGATGAAATTTTACCCATGCATGAAAGTACAACTATGGAAACTTTTGAAAGGGTAAGGAGGGATGAAGGGAAAGGATAGAGGTGGTGAATTTGTTCAAGGTTTATTGAGTATATGTGTCAAGTATCAGAATGAAACAAGTTGTACAAATAAGATATGCCAATGAAAATTACCATTTATTTTTAAAAGACTCAACTGTTTCATCTTTTTCAGGGAAAGGAAGGAATGGAAGAAAAATGAGATGAAGGAATAGGGTTAATGGTTTTCTATAAATAAAAGAAATTGAACAATGAAACCTTTGTAACTGCTTTAAGAGAGATGAGAAGGGGTGGTAGGGAGTAGAGGAATGATCTAGCCATGCACAATCTAAGGCTATTTTGGATTGTCACCACAAATCCCCACCTGTACAATGAATATATGCTAATAAAATGAAAAAAAAGAAACACAATTTCTGACAAAGAAAACCCTGCATGAGATGA